GATAGATAGATAGATTTGTCTATATCTCTGAGAACAAAGCATGTTTGCCATTCTTTTTACTTTCAGCCATTCCGTTCCGCCTGTCAATTATGGTGTTATTATATCAAGGATATAATAATGCTCGTCACGACAGAAATACAAATGGGAGAATAAATCATTCTTCCAAGCTCACTCCTGTTCAGGCCGTTATAACACGAAGTAACAACTATGTATTAATTCTAATTTTTGTTGATAAATTACATAGTTTTTCTTCAATATTGTAGTTATCTCTTCATGGCTTCGAAAATATATGCCATTATTTTAAATAATTTAACCCAGTCTGTTTAAGATATGCTTTGTAAAGCCAGTCTGTTAATCTATTTTTATCTGTTATTAGTTTATTTACTTCTAAATGAATAAAAAACAAGGCGAATATCCTCTAAGTATGCTAATATAATTCCCTAATTTCTGCTATGGCTAGTAGTTCGGAAAGAAATTCGAATCCCTTTTTGCAGGTTCCGTTTTTCATGTTGATAACCGTTACATTTATTTAGAAACAGAGAGACATGAACTATTATGTAATCTTATTGAAGTGAGGAACTGCTATATAATCTTACTGAAGAGATGAACTGTTATGTAATCTTGGTGAACTGCTGCGTAATCTTGCTGAAGTGGTGAACTGCTTTGTAATCTTACTGAAGTAGGGAACTGCTATGTAATCTTAATGAAGTGCCGAACTGCTATGTAATCTTACTGAAATGGTGAACTGGTTTGTAATCTTACTGAAATGGTGAACTGCTTTGTAATCTTAATGAAGTGCTGAAATGCTATGTAGTATTATTGTGTGACAGTGAATGCTGAATACTCTCCTCATAGATAAAGAGAAAACAGGAGGCAACAAAAATGTACGTAATTGTCATATAGGACATAAATAAATGGAATCATTCATATATATATATATATATATATATATATATATATATATATATATATATATAAGCAGCGTCAAGCAGAGTTGAGGAGAGTTAGCATTAAGTCAATTGTTAAATGTACCTTTGGATAGTAAACCTTCTATTTCATGACTTACCGACGAGTTTGTCTTCCTTATTTATTTCTCCCCGTTATCTCGGAAATACGAGATATAACAGCAAGGAGCAAGTTATCTGAACAAATAAAAACTACAAGAAAATTTAAAATTATAATCTGAAAGGCAGTCGAAATTTCTGAGACACATAGTGAGGAAAGAGGTTTTGGAGAATTTGACACTCACGAAGCATAATGATGGCAAGATAATAAAGGGAAGATAATAAAAAAAAAACCTGCTTAAAGTGTTTGTGTAAATGAATGCAAGAATGAGTGGAATGATAAAAGGCTAAAATTTTACTTTAGCAATAAAAAATAGTAAATTGTGGAAAGCCATGAACGCTCCCATTCTGAAAGGTTATTACATATAAAAGAAAAAAGAATCTCTTACATTTTTAGATGCCTTTTCACGCCTACGATTAGTTCCTACGACTAATTCTAGTTTTATACTAGATATTTATGTAAATATATCTTCCCTTTAATGTTATTACTCTTTTAATTAGTAGCGTAAAGTGCCGTCGGTGATACACCCGTGGGTGAATGGTCCAAAATCGGAGAGATCCACGGCGCCATGTTGTGTCCCCGTATTATCAGTGTTCGAACCATTGTACTAAGCCCAAGTAGTCGAAGTAATGGTGGGGGCAGTTCCTTTATTCCAGACGACAGGTGAGGTGGATTTATTTTTGAAGTTACCTTCTTCTAGCATTTGCCTAAAAAAGCAGGATCTTCAAGGCAGCAAATAGTTTAAATCCTGAGTCTCTCTTCCGCTAGACTGATTGCAAACAAAGGCTATTTACCAAGACTTTGTTGGAAAGATGGATTCATACGTTTCCCAATGGTATTAGCCCGTAAGTGAATGCAATGAACTCGAACCCTGCTCTCCGATTCCACAATCCGAACCGCTCTTCCACCATGTCTCCTATTATTTAATTCGAAAAACATTTTAAGTTTTGAAGTTTAAATGTCTGCAAAACCAAAACTATTCTAACGGCTAATCTGGTAAATACGTACATCTGCATTTGAAATTTGAAATGGGAAGTTGAGATCTTGTTATATCTGACATACGCTTTCTTATTACTCTTAGTTAAGTCCTCAAGAACGGTTTCACGTTCTGAACGTGGTATAAATGCCAACTTGAGAGCATTTCTTTCTCTTGAATTTCGCTGTCAATAGCCATTGACATTCTCCTGATCGCTTCAAGCTGATCTTGTCGCTAATCTGAAATGGTTTAGCTTGTCACTTTCACACAAACATATTTCGTGAGGTTTTCAGGGCCCGTCTAAATGTTGAATAAGTTTTAGTACAATTTAAGATACTAAGGCTATAAATCTTTCATTTGATAAGGCTCACTGTCATCTGCTAGTTTCTCCGCTTCTCTATAATTGCTTTCGGTTGCTCTCTATATCTCCCATTCTCTCTCTCTCTCTCTCTCTCTCTCTCTTTCTCTCTCTCTCTCCCTCACACATACTCACACACTGTTTCTATCTTTTTCCTTTTCTGTTTCTTTTGGTCTCCCTCTTTTCTATCTCTCTATCTTTTTTACCTCTTTCTCATTCTTCTGGATCCTCTCCAATATTAGTTGAATGTTGCGTCTCATAGGCAAAGTGTTTAGAATTTATATTTTAGGATTAACCTAAAGGTTGCTTTTTATACTTTATCTCTTCTTCTCTATTTCTGTATCTTAGCATCTCTGAAATCAGAAGCAACAGTCGAATGTAACGCTGAAATGAACTCACGCACGCATATATCTATATACCCATATACATTCTCCCGATTTTACAATCTTCATGCCTGACCTTGGATTTTAAGCTTTCTCTCGTAGAAGGGTTTGCTTTGGGTGACATTCACTTTTCATTTTGAAACCTTTAAATGTACAAAAGAAAGATAAAAGTTATAGATTTTCAATAAAGAAAAAATGAAAGGAAAAAGAATTTATATTCGGTATCTTAAAATTACAAAAAGAAATGTTTGGCGCACGCGTTTTCGCTTCTTGCTTTTACGTGCAAACTGAATGCGTGTAAAAATGGCGGAAGGTGTCATTCGAGATCAAAACCGCTTTAAAAAAAAATGGACGAAAGCCGTTACGATAAAACAAATCTTAAGTAAAGCTCATTATAAGTGATTAAATCGGAATGTCAAGCATAAGAATAAAATAATATGGATTTGTTTGCTTAGCGGCATATCAACTCCTTCATAGGTCATTTACCGCCGAAATTTAATTTTCTTGGGTGCTTTAAAGTAATAAATATAGTATACATGTTATTCTGCTTTCACAATTGAATACATGGTAGATGATACACAGCTTTTGTACAGATGTTTAGAGGAGAGGATATGTGTGTTTTATGTTGTAGTTTTGTTGAAGTTATATTTTGAAATACAGTTTGATTTCAAGAATTTGTAGGATATTATATGGATTAATGTCATGAAAGCTCTTTCATGTTGGTTGGTCGATTTCATTTTCGCGGTATATCAACCTCTATGTGTTAATTAATACCTAAATATAAATATTTTGAACAATTTACGGCTTCAACTAAATAGACGTTGAACGCAACCGTATGCCTTCAACAACAGATAAAATATCTTGTTAGTTATTTTGCTACATAATGTATTGTTATCTCTACTATAAAATGTATTGTTTGTCATTTTACTATAAAAATGTATTTTTATACTTTCATAATGTTTTGTTTGAGGGCGCTTACTATTTGCCCATTGCTGGGACCCTAATAGTTGCTACCACCGTGTGTCAGGGTGGACCTGGTGACAACAGCAATTAAGAGGTGGTTCCACGTGTTCTCAAAACCTGTCAATCAGAGGCGTCGCTGTCAGATGTAATTTATTTCCATATTCAGGACTAAATATCATTGATGAATTGCTTCATAGATTGCGTAGCGTTACAGTTCACATCAGACACCGGGTTCGATCGCAGGGTGCAACTTCTTTCTAGTCGAACGCTTGTTACATAATACAAGGAAAATAATTCTTTGGCCGGATAGTTACCCAAGAAAAAAGCCATGAGACGAAATTGTAGCAGTCGGCAAATTTTATTCAGTAACCTTCTCGTAAGGACCGGCTGTAGGCAAGCGGGGAAAAGTGGGGCGAGGTGGCAAACAGCCTAAGCAGCTTGTGGCTTCCTTTCGCCTGGTAGACGAGCGATCATCTCTTGTTTAGGCTACTAGAGACCGTCTTATTTGTCCTGTCAGCTTTCGTCTAAAAAAAATCATTCATCAAGAACGCAGGATCTGTTGACTTGGTTCTTAATCCGCTCTAATCAGCTGACATTCTTTGTCAAGATGATAATTGTCAAAATGATTTCTGTAACATCCTACAGATGTGCCCTTAACAAGACATTCGCTGAAAACTGATATCTCTACAATTGACAACACAAATATTTCTGTAGGCGCTGTTTTTATCAGGAAGGAAAGAGAGATCTGCATAAACAATCGATAGAATAGATAATGTGAAAAAGGACACCCACATACTAAATTCTGCTCGTCTTGTCAAACGGTTTCAAGATAGGCTGTATATTAACATTTTCAATACCATGTCCCTTTAAGATATAGGCGACCATAAATTTCCACAACGCCTTTGACTATGCCGTTTCCAAGAGTATAGTCAAAGGCGTTGACTATGTAAACGCAGAAGACACGTAAAATATATGCTACATTTACATGAGCAGGAGATATTTTCCTTTTACATATTTTCTACTTTGGGACTAAATAGCAGTGTAGAGTGAGTCTTGGTTGAGAGACTGTTTAAGTAAAACAACTCTGAATTTAAACCTGTCGAGAAAACAATAGAAAACACTATCTTTTCAAAAAGCATAATTCACAGATAATAAAAAAAAGGTAATGATTATCATATTCCTCGTTTTCTATGTTACGATTATCATATTCCTTATTTTCTCCATTAGGATTATCATATTCCTCGTTTTATACATTATGATTATCATATTCCTCGTTTTCTATGCTACGATTATCATATTCCTTATTTTCTCCATTAGGATTATCATATTCCTCGTTTTATACATTATGATTATCATATTCCTCGTTTTCTATGCTACGATTATCATATTCCTTATTTTCTCCATTAGGATTATCATATTCCTCGTTTTATACATTATGATTATCATATTCCTCGTTTTCTATGTTACGATTATCATATTCCTTATTTTCTCCATTAGGATTATCATATTCCTCGTTTTATACATTATGATTATCATATTCCTCGTTTTCTATGTTACGATTATCATATTCCTTATTTTCTCCATTAGGATTATCATATTCCTCGTTTTATACATTATGATTATCATATTCCTCGTTTTCTATGCTACGATTATCATATTCCTTATTTTCTCCATTAGGATTATCATATTCCTCGTTTTATACATTATGATTATCATATTCCTCGTTTTCTATGCTACGATTATCATATTCCTTATTTTCTCCATTAGGATTATCATATTCCTCGTTTTATACATTATGATTATCATATTCCTCGTTTTCTATGCTACGATTATCATATTCCTTATTTTCTCCATTAGGATTATCATATTCCTCGTTTTATACATTATGATTATCATATTCCTCGTTTTCTATGTTACGATTATCATATTCCTTATTTTCTCCATTAGGATTATCATATTCCTCGTTTTATACATTATGATTATCATATTCCTCGTTTTCTATGCTACGATTATCATATTATTTTCTCCATTAGGATTATCATATTCCTTATTTTCTATGATATGATTATCATATACTTTATATCTCTAATTATTATATTCCTAATTTTCGATGTTATGTTTATCATATTCCTCGTTTCAATGTAGCCACCAGTTACTGTATGTAGCTCTGTTTAACCAAGTGGGATGGATTGGAGTTTGTCGAGCAAAAATCATTTTTCCTATTATTTTTTTTTGTTGTTGTTGTTGTTGTTGTTTTCATTCACTGCTAGTGCATCAGATAATGATTCATGACAATTCATAAAAGAGAATAAAATCAAATAATTACTCTGGAGCTGCTGATGGGAAATTTCCATGATATATCATCACACCTATGATCAAGAATTTTACATAAATGTCATGTACAAAACGTTGACTTCACTGTGTTAGTCGTCATTTTATTTTGCAAATATGAAGTCAATCAGAAAAGTTCCATTTGAAAAAGGATTAACGTAAAATAGTGTAATATTAATTCTATTCACCTTCAAAAATCCAACTTGACAACCCCTGGGACACATTTATTAAGTTCTTAAATGGTGTCTGCAAAATACCAGCTTCCTTCATAAATTAATAATCCTCCATTAGTGACACCAGTATTCCATTTTCGACAAAACATGAGGAATTTCACTAGGGAATCTGGTTGATATGATTTGACGCTGCTAGAGGGTAGCAATAGAGGTAACAGCTTTTGTTGGATTTCTGCAAAGGATAGTGTGATTAGATTTTTTTTTCCAATTTTTCATAAATTTATATAGGGAATTCAGTTTACTATATGAATTCATTGTTAATTTACACCCTTATGGAAGCCAAAACATAATATGTTCATACCAAATAATTTCTTAAAATGTAAAAACTAATTCTTTTTACATTTTTTGCTATCAACTAAGCACACTAGATTTTAAAGAGATATTTTTTTTTACATCTTAAGAAATCATTTCAAATGAGAATGCTTTGTTTTGGCTTCCGTGAGGAGGAGGGATCGATTTACAATTACCTAGCAAACTGGACCTCCGATTAAATTAACATTTATAAAATTCCCCTTTTTCTCCAGTATGACTATCATATTCCTCATTTTCTAAATTCATAATCTGGTCTTCTATTTTCCATATACGACTATCAACTAAGCACTCTCATGGAAGCCAAAACAAAATAAGCTCATACCAAAAGATTTTTTAAACTGAAAAAAATAATTCATTTATTTTATTTTATTTTATTTTTTTTTTGGTATTAACTAAGCACTGATTTCACATTTTAATAAATCATGTGGAATGAACATATTTTGTTTCAGTTTCCATGGTGTGGGGGGGATCAATTTACAATTACCTAGTAAATTGGATCCCCTATTAACTTTTATAAAATTAAAAAATATTTCTTTGTTATACTCATTGTCTGGAGTAGTTAATCTATAGGAATATGAAAAAAAAAAAAGACTGAAAATTGAATAATTCTGGTTGCCGTGCATCTCCAGCCTACTTTCTTGCCAGTAATGACTGACAATGCAATTTAAATTAATCTATGGCATAATCATTTGGCAAATGCTCACTTCATTGGCAAAATATCTAGTGATGGCAAAACCACAGGGAGACGTGGATTCATGCCTTTTCCAACAGCATAAGTATGATATAATTATAAACTACCCCTGCCAGTATCTGAAATTATTTTGACATGCTCATTTTTGGATGGTTTTAACACCTATCCTCCTTTCAATACAAACAGATTTTATAATAATCTATTTTAATGTCTGATGTCTTTGTTATTTGTTAAACTAACCTCAATATCACACTTTTTTTTTATGTGGCAAATTCTTTTGTCAGTGATCATGGCTCTTCACCATTTCCTATCTTTGTTTCTCTAATATTTTACCATTTCCCATACCTCTTAATTGCTGTTGTTCCCATGTCCACTCTGACTAAGGGTGGTAGCACTTGTTAAAGTCCCCAGCTATGGGTAAATAGTAAACCCCCAAACAAAACTCAGGAGACTAAGTATAAAAAATAAATTATATAATAAAAATACTAATAATGCTCTGATGAGCTACTTTCATGAGTACCCCAACTGAATGAATTTAAGCATGCTACTAGGTTAGCATCTCAGTCCCACCCTTTCACTGTCAAAATAGTTAAATGTAATTGCCTCTTCTATTCCAACAGCTTCTTCTCTTGCACTTCCTAACGGTGAAACTCCCTTTCTTTTACTTGCTTCCCTGATAGCTATAAACTTCAAATATCCAAATGTAATGCCAATCGACATCTTCTAATGCCTTGATCCTGATCCCCATCCTTCTCTATATCCTTTCTTCGAACACCCCCCTCTTTACTCTTACTCTCACTCTCTGTAAACCTTTGTTTCCTAGTGGTGACACTCCCACATTGCTTGGGGTTAAATGCTTAAAAAAATACATTTTTATTAACACAAAATTACTAACAATATTTGTTTGTAGTGAAATTAACAGCAATGTATTTTTTCATTTTATTTTATCATCTACAAACTATATAGTTTTTAATCCATTAATGCCCATTATAAAAGATGGTATTAATTAATGGTTTCTTTCTATAACTGATTAATACCCACTATAAAAGATGGTATTAATTAATGGTTTCTACCTATAACTCATTAATGCCCACTATAAAAGATGGTATTAATTAATGGTTTCTATCTATAACTTATTAATGCCCACTATAAAAGATGATATTAATTAATGGTTTCTACCTATAACTCATTAATACTCACTATAAAAGATGGTATTAATTAATGGTTTCTACCTATAACTGATTAATGCCCACTATAAAAGATGGTATTAATTAATGGTTTCTATCTAGAACTTATTAATGCCCGCTATAAAAGATGATATTCATTAATGGTTTCTACCTATAACTGATTAAAGCCCACGATAAAAGATGATATTAATTAATGGTTTCTACCTATAACTGATTAATGCCCACTATAAAAGATGATATTAATTAATGGTTTCTACCTATAACTCATTAATGCCCACTATAAAAGATGGTATTAATTAATGGTTTCTACCTATAACTCATTAATTCCCACTATAAAAGATGGTATTAATTAATGGTTTCTACCTATAACTCATTAATGCCCACTATAAAAGATGGTATTGATTAATGGTTTCCTTCCTATGACTGATTAATGCCCACTATAAAAGATTATATTAATTAATGGTTCCTACCTATAACTCATTAATGCTCACTATCCCATTTTTGAATGGTGAGCATTAACAGGTTGAAGCCAAAGTTAAAATAATTTTAAAAGTAAAACTGATTTATGATTAACAATATTGATTATAATTTAATGCTGTAGCTGGGCATTAAGTCATTTTTTCTCTACCACTGTTCAACTGATGGCTGGACATTATGTCATTTTTTCTCTACCCTCGATAAAGCAGTGGTCAGGGTTCAAAGGGTTAAAAGTCAAACTTTAAGAGAAAAATAGCAACTGAACTCAAATCAAAAGAACAAAAAAAAAATAAATAAAAAAGATGACTGATGATTGCACAAAGGAAAAAGGTATGTTTATTTAAAAATTGATAATAAAGAAAAACACTTTAAATTTATTAATAAAGGACAACTGCTAATTGACCCTTTAGAAATACTTCTTACACTAAATTATGTTCAATATCAATTAATTTTTAATTGTGTTGAATAATGAAACAAGCATTTAGACATATTAGATAATTTATATATGTATGTATACTTATATATATGTATATACATTTATTTGATATATATATATATATATATATATATATATATATATATATATATATTATCCAAATATTAATCTATGCCAAATTTTTTTCCCCACTATCACACTTCCTAACAAAATCACTAGTCTCCCAAGCCAACATAGAAAACCAATATATCAAGAAATCAATAGAAACTGATTGAATCTGTCAACACAACAGTACAAACAATATTTCTACATGTGAAAATATTCTCTTCAAACATAACATAATTTTTCAGTTGACCATATGAATATACAATAGCATTTCTAAATTTTTCTAGTTGCTAACGACATTTTGTTTGTTGCTTATAGATATTTTGTACCAATAAATTCATTTTGTTTTTTGCCTTGAAAATGTTCACATTGGGTGAAATATATTGGCTAAAAATATAGTTTTGCTATTATTTTTTTAATTAATATACATATATATATATATATATATATATATATATATATATATATATACTTGAATCTTTAGATTCAAATATATATATATTTATACAAATAAATATATATATATTAATACAAATAAACATATAATATAAAATACATAAAAATGAATTAATTTCATAATTAATTAATTGATTTCCTAATAAATAAAACCTTAATAAAATTCATAAACATAATATACACACACACACACACATATATATATATGTATTATGTATATATATATTTTTTATATATATATTTTATATATATATATATATATATATATATATATATATATATATGCTTATATATTTTTGGATCTATAGATTTTCATGTCTTCAATGTATTTGTTGCGGAGTGTTCCGGCAAAGCAATGACTTTGTTTGAATGTAATTTTTATATATTTATTTTTGAGGTGCTTAAAAGGGCATTATGAGCCCAGAACAAGATTAGAAAATATGAACAAAATCATATATGAGATACAATAAAATAAGCATAGACAAAAAGAATAAAATGCATTTCATAGAAATACATTATATACATTCCTTAGAAATTATTGTATATTTTAAAGAACATATATATATATATATATATATATATATAAAGGAATAAAGAACTTTTTCTCATCTGTTGGTGGCAACATGTTTTATTAAAACATTGTCCAGAACATCTACCTCATTCCACCATCGAAAAATCGAAAAGAGAGAAGTTTTGATTTTTGTTTCATTTGGCAGTAAAATACTTGTTCTGGTGCATCATGGGAATATTCTATATTTATATAACTATTTTTTATAATGTGTTATAAACTTTTTCCTTCATTATTGTTAATTACCATTATTATCTGTATTTTAAAGT